GTCACAATGATAATAAAATTATTCGCAGGTCAAGGATGAAATGAATCATCGGTTAACATTTAAAAGGTTTGACGTGTTGAGTCGGAGCTGATTATAAATAACATGATGATACATAGATAGTCTTGCATTATGTATTAGATAGTCTTGCATTATGTAGTTGAACTATGGGTAAAAAATGATGATACTGCAAACTTGATGAATGTGGTGAAATATGCAATCAGACCCCGAAAAGTAACAAATTTGTAGATAAAAATTGGATCCCATCAATGTTTTTAATCTAATTTTGTAGAAAACTGGTTAACTACAGAAGGAAAAGGCAAAACCCATACCAGACAGGGGTAAAGAAAATCTAGGATCGACAAAACCTTTGTTCACCATAACTTTTAAGCAGTTGCGGTCAATGAACTTGATCTGTAGCAAGACCTCTTTGCTGCTCGAACAATGTCCTCGACCTGAATAATAGATTTCAAAGCATCAAAACGAGATCAGGGAATTGTAAGTGTTATGCCCTAAATCCAATCGATTTAGGTTGTAAACACTTTTAATATGTTTAGCATTTAATTTTGACAAGATCTATTATTTATTTAAATTAATTTTGTGATAAATAATATTAAATAATAGAGTCCCAAAATCCAAGTTTAAGTGATTTGTTAATCACAAGAAATTGTGATTGTGAGATACAAATTATATATGATTGGATCTTGAATAAACCGTGGTCGTAAGTAATAACGAGATACGAATATCGTTAATACAGATAGACCATCACGTTTGGCATTTCTTACTTGTGAAGTAAGTAGCTGATTTCACGAGTTAAAGTGTGGTGACACTTAAATGAACACGTGGATGTTTTGTTATAGAACAAAACATTAGAGACCCGTTAAGAGATTCCACATGGATAACTATCTTAGTGTCAATGGTTAATCTTTAATGTTCGGTAGTGGAATTGGTCCTATGATTTGAGGTCATCATAGTGCCTTGTATGAGGACAGTCATACTTTAACGGTGTTGGATGTTGCTCTGCCAAGGGCCGCTAAGACGACATCATTCGGATATGTCAAGAACCATATGAAGGTTGTGAATGAAAAATAGAGGATTAATCACTCTTAGATAGTAAGAAATTGTGATCTACATTTCGTTCAATTAAGTCAATAACGAAATTCTTGGCCAAGGTATACATATTAGTCGAAAATTGATTTTCGACTCATATTGACTTAATAGTAGAATGAAAGATATGGTCGATAATCAAGATTGACACATTTCCATATCTTGTAGTTGATCGGATCATATTGACGAAGAGATTATAGTTTCATGGTAAACGAACAGTTTTGATTTTGTCATACTACGTGACATTTTCCGTCACATGTGTTTCCCTGATACATTGCTAGATGTCAATCTGGGACGGCGAGTGTGAATTTGTGATAAATTAAAAGGGTGTTTAATTTATCAGTTTTGATTAGATCAAAATAATTTTTCACATCGTTAGACATTGTGGTCGGGAACCTAATGGGTCGCACACAAAAGAGAATTGGAAGATTACAAATTTTCAATAAATTAATTTAACAATCGTTGGATAAATTAATTAATTAGATTGGTTATTTATGTCCCCGAATTAATTAATTAAATTAATTAATTCACGGATCAGATTTAATTAAATGGATTACTTAAATATTGGATCGGACCGGACCGGGTCGAGCTTGTTTGGGTTTATATAAATATATGGCTAAGGTTTAAGATCCATATTGTTTTTTATAATTCTTGTTGGCACAAGAGGAAAAATCCTAACAGTTGCAGTCTATTCTCTGTGTGGATTTCATTGGAGGCTGGACAATTGGACAGCTGTAGGAGACAGATTCAAGTTGCTGAAAAAGGGATAACGTAAAGGAGTTTGCAAAATCAAGAAAAATATATAATTCTCATCATAGTTCTTATCTAAATATAAAGATGAATCTTGGTGAGAATTGAAACTGTTTTATTTCCGCTGTGCATGTTTAAGTAAATTCCCAACATGAATGAGTTCAACAACATGCGGGATCCTTTAAATGCAAACTGAGAAAATAATAACATGGTATGGAAGTAGTCTATTTCTTATTTCTTGTGATGTTTCTACTACCGGACTACGTATCTAAAGATTTTCCAATTCCCACTTTATTTTGAAGCTTTGGTGTTGGCTAGGTCTCTCTTTTGGCTTGTACACATGATCTTTCAACTCGTTTATTCTCCCCATAGTACGTATATATGGACTATGCAAATAACAGTGGAGGACGAAACAATCTTTATACCAAACCCTCTATTTATGAATTGTTCTGAAAGGTATACATCAAACTGGTCGTAGTGCACAAGGGAAATGGGTTGAATGATCCAATAGAATCTTAGGTATCGTACAATTATGCGATTGATGATAAAGAAACAAGTGGAGTTGGGATTTTTGAAGGAATTTAAAGATAGGTTACTTGCGGTCTCAAACTAGTGCTAGTGCACTTGGGGATTGGGTTGAGAATAGAACTTTGGGCATCAAACAATTATTCGCTTGACGATGAAAAAATAAGTGGAGTTAAGATTTCCAAAGAAGTAACAAAATTACCTCGCACGTAGGAACTAGAAGTCATGTCGAATAGGCTGCCTCGGTGTATTGCAATAGAGAAAACAAGGAAACAAGGGCTAATGTCTCTAGGTATTTTCCTGAAAGCGAAAATTAATAAAGCAAAAAACATGCAAGCGAAAGTTTGACACTTTTGGGGGGCATAAATGCGTACGTTTTGCATGAAAATATAGGTCCCAACCCCCAAAAGTAAATGCACTCTATCTCATTGGAAATTAAGGGCTAAAACTATGTATCTTGCCTTTGACAGAGAGAAATGCAAGAGAGCTTCTAGCTATAAAGCAGCACGACGAAGAAAAAAAGTTGCATTCTAGTAGTTTGGCTAGGAGTTTAACTAGTGGATGTATTCGAAAATTTAGCTATGTTCTCATCATTCGATGACAACCTAAACATTCTTGGTATGATGAAAGATAATCTATTTTGATAATTTTTTTTCAATTTCCATTTTCAGATTTCAGGTATGCTTTTGTGCTGTGTTTTCACTATTGTTTTAAGGAATGTTTTGAGACCCATATGGAGACCTCGATGTAATATACGTTTTATTAGGATATTAGCTCTTATCCCAAAATCTTAAATTCAGATAGGAGCCAAAGATAGAGATATAGAGAGATAAATATATACTCTTACGGTTTTTGGGGCCTTATGTGAATTTCTTTATTATCTACGCACTTTTATCTATTGTTGTTCACATAGGGATAATAATAAATTCATATACAGATTTAAATTTAATTTTGCTCTAGAAACTAACAAATAAGCTACGAAATTTCTATGAAGTGCATGTATTTTTTAAAACTTGATGAACAAAATTGAATTGAAATAACTATGGTGAAATCACAAGTTGTGACATTTTAATTTCATGGAATTTTTTTCTGGAGAGAAGATTGTTAATCTCTATTCCATCAATCATGGTTAAATTTTCATTTAAAACATAATCAGATTTTTTAAATAGAATTAGGATTAAGTAAATTTCGATATTTAGTAGATTCTATATTAATGAACTTATGAGAAATAATACCGTTGTTGGGACCAGAGCCGGTCCTGTGTTTGATGGGCCCTGAGGCAAATGATGAAAATCAGGCCCCCCAGTGACAAAATTCAAAGATGTATTATGCGACTAATTGCTAACTTAAAAAACTAACATTAAAACAATTACTAAATATATCATAGAAACGATTTATATTATAAACCATCAAACCAAAAATTTCAAACAATTAGTTAAATACTATTCGTCTTACTATTTTAGAGGTAAAAATATCAATCAAATTTGAATAACTTAGCTGCTCAACCATTTCTTTTTCTATTGATAACATAGCCAACTCGTTTAATCTTTCTTGCGACATAGTTGATCGGAGATAGATCTTGATCAACTTTAATTTCGAGAAACTTCTTTCCGCAAATGCAACTATAACCGCTGTGGTTAACAAAATTTGATAAGCAATATAAGCATTTGAAAAACAAACATCCAATATCTTCAAATACTATAGCACTTCAATTGCTCTTGTTGCTTCACTTAATATATAACACCTCAAGATTTGTAACTCCGAACATAAATCATCCCCACTAATGTTCGAACGCCCATCATGTTGAAGATATTTCTCAAAATTCAAACAAGAGTTCAACAAATTTGAAAAAGTTGCACCCCTTAATCTTTTCAATTTAAACAAAAATTCAAATGTGCTATCATATTGTTTGAATTGTTCAAATCGGGTCCTCAGAGAAGATAGAGTTTGATCAATTATAAAAATAAAGTACTCAACTCTAAAAGATTCTTCTGCTGATTCCTCTACCTCATCACTACCGCTTTCATCAAATTGTTTTTTCTTCGAATTATGCGTTTTTCTGTAAATACAGTTTCAATTCCCATTTCGCTTGCCTTTTTTGTCGCTTCATTTTTGACAATAGCAAATTCAATTTCTCTATATTCTTCAAGAAATGAAACAAGTCCTTGCAAGAGGTCGATAGCATGATCAATATCCATGGATTCGGTTTGAAGAAATTTACTCACAATATTGACAGCACGAAACAATCTGTACCAGATTATCATGCCAAGCAAAAACTCAAAATTTTGAAGTTCATGTGTTGCTAACGATTCGGTCTCACTCTTCACTTTAGGATCTTCATTATTTTCTACCAAATCAAGTAATGCATCTCTTATTTGTGCAGTTTGCTCCATTATAAGCTTCACACTTTCAACATGACTTTCTCAACGTGTTTGTGACAATGACTTCATTGTCAACCCTTGTACATTATCTTTGAAAATTTTTCATCGCTTGGTAGAAGAGGAAAACACCGTGTAGATGCATTGTATCACTCCGGAGAAAAATACAGCTTTGGAACAATAGTTCACCATATCACATAATGCTAGATTTAGACTATGAGCGCCACATGGAGTATAGAAAGCTCAGGGATTCATTTCATGGACTCTTCTTTGCACACCTTTGTGCTTCCCGCTCATGTTAGATCCGTTGTCATACCCTTGCCCTCTAATGTCATCAATATCGAGATCAATTTTTATCAAAGCCTTTTGAAGCTCGGTTGCAAGTCCAAGTCCTGTTGTGTCATTTACCTTCAAAAATTCTAGTCAATGTTCTTTAACTGTAGGTAAGTTTGCCGAATCATCTACAAATCGTACAATTAAAGATATTTGCTCTTCGTGACTTGCATCTGGAGTACAATCAAGTATAACTGCGAAATATTTTGCATGTTTAACTTTCTTGACAATTGAACTTCTCACCTGATTAGCTAACAATTGTATTAACTCATTTTGAATTTTTTTGCCAAGATACATATATTGAATCTCTCTTACTTTAGCCCACCGAAGGTCCTCTTGCATTACTAAATCAAATTCACTTACCATTTCCACTATTTGTAAAAATAGGCTATTATTCTCAACATGTAACGTCTCATCATCTCCTCGAAATGACATTGTGTTTTTCGCAAGTCTTTTCACAATAACGATTATCCTTGTTAATACATGTCTCAAATGTTCTCTTTCAGCATCAATAAACAATTCAACGCTTTTATCAATTGTAGTTTTTTATCGAAACCTATTTTTCAATTCAATCTAGATAGTCATGCAACGTAAATGCTCCTCATTCCCTTCATGACTTTTAATAGACCGATGCAAATTATGCCAATCTGTGAATCCATCATTACCTAGTTGGCCAACTTTGGTCACATTTATTGGTGTTTTAAACAACTTGCAACAAAAGCAGAAGATTCTGTCCATAGACACTGAATACACTAGCCATCTTCTATCAACTGTTTTCCCATTTGGTAGCAATCGCTTATATTGTGAAGAATCGAAATGTCCATTTGTATAGTCTTTCAGAAACGAGATGTCATCAACTCTTTTTGGACCCCTTTCAACTAAGTAATCCATTTTCTTTGATCAATAATTTTCCAATTCCCGAGATCATCCAAATTTAAAGAAAAGTAACCCTCTTCTTCCTTATCATCTTCTTCATTATTAGAGGCGGACTTCATCACTTCTTCTTCCTTATCATTTACTTCGTTAACGTTGGTAGGTTGACTCACTTTTTCATCCTTATCATCTACTTCATTAACATGGGCATGTTGAATCTCTACTTCATTCTCATTCAACACATTCACATTGTTACTTTTGAAGTACTTGTTAATATCCCCTGCTTTACTTTGAATTAATGCAATTTCATTTCATTTCCTTTTCTTCTTTTGAGCACCAGACTCATGTTTAGGAGGCATAGTATAGGAGTGAATATTTAATGTCCAATGATTAACCTAAAAAATAATTACACAATATCTCAATCATCTCACAATTATAGTTTCAAATATAGTTACTACGGGCGCCTGTGCAATTGTTCATCGTACAATAAGCAATCATATAAGCCGATCAGGTTGCAATTATATAAGACGACAAGGCTTCAAACATTTCCAATATCTTCAATAACAAGTCAGGGCAAGCCATTACTTACTTGAGAAGCGAAATTTTGTTGAAGATTGTGAAATTACACCGTTGAGAATGATCCCATTTTCTGAACTAGGAGTAAGCCGATCGCAATTTTAAAATTTTTAATAATAGCTCCAAGTGCATTCACAATGGCCCTTACAAATTGAGACAGAGACATCTCTTAGAATCAACTAAAATTAAGGGAGTAAAGTTAAGAAAGAAGAAAGCAAGACAATTAAAATATCATAATCTGCATTCCATAGACATCAAAGTGGAAAAGCATTAACTTGCAATATTGCCTTGGCCAAATGATGGTAGACAGACAAGCACTCAAAATGCAAAGCTCTATTAATGTTGATTGGTAAACAAAAATATAAAAGGCAAAGAAAACTATTTGCCCATATGATCACCTCAAGTACATATAAATCTAGCTGACAAATCAAAGACACTAAATGCAAGGATGCTTTGTACATAGAGATTAAAAGAACCAAGGTAAAATCTAAGATTTAGCCCCCATTTGGCTCCCATTATGTGGAAAAGAAAATGGGTGGAATAGTATTTTTTTTTTTTGAAAAATGAATGGTTGAAAAAGAAGGAAAAAATTTCAATTTACGTGTAAAATTATTTTATGGAATATTGTATGGTTGAAAATAAGAGAGAGAAAAATGAAATGTAATGAAATGAAAATTAATGGAGGCCAAATGGGGGCTTAATACTACTGTCAACCTATTCTAGAATACATCAAATACTACTCTCAAATACTGTGATTAACAAGCAAGATAACAACATTTCATCTTGGTTTTCCAAGGCTAAGCACAGTAGAAATCATTCTCTTAAATCTTAGTAAAGGCTTTATGCCGTCAACCTCAGCACTCCAAAATTCCCTCTCCAACAAACACAACTCTTAAATGAAAAGATTTTAAATTATAGTTTCCATGTCATGAGCTTCAGTGTAGTTATAGGAATTGGTATATGATTTAGCCAGAAATACAAGTGCAAATTTAACAAAGATGTCAAAGTGTGCAGGGTTATTGCCATTGGATTACATTATTCACCCTAATAAAAGATTTAGCTACTCATAACGAAAGAGGAAAAACAATAGATTGTTTTAGAATACATCACCAAATTTGTAATAAAGATATAGAAGAAAAATTATAAATCTTGCACCAAGATCTCCTTTATCTTCCAATCAATGATCCAAACCTCCAATTGCTTGATGTTTTCCTCCCTTAAATTTCCCCCTTTAATCTCAGATGTGTTTCTTGTCTCTCAATGTATAAATCCCCTTCTCAAAGTGTGAAAAATTGTATTTATAGGTGCCTCCACATTTGTGTCGAAAATAGGGTTTTAATGGACTTTAAAATGAGCCAAAAATGCACCTGAAGTGTACCCAGGTGGTGCCTCCTATGGTGTCAAAACTATGTTTTGGTGGTGCCCACCTTTCGAGGGGAAAATTAGACTGCACTTTTTTCAATATGTTTATCATAACATTTTCTCCCAATATCCAAGTGAGGTGACTCAAGATGCGTTAGAAAGCTACTCAAAGTAATACAACTTTTCTTCAGATATCATTACCAAATTTGATTGTTTGCTATGCCGAAATTGGGTCCCAATATGAGGCTAAAAACGGTGAATAATCTTTTTCGGTTGGAAATTAATGTGTGATCATACTTTGATTATGTTTCATCCCTTTGACGTCTTTCTTTATCCAATTGACTCCAAATACTCTTGAATCTTCATTACGAGGTTCGACACAACTTTTGAGTATTTTCACTTTAGTCCCCGAACTTTGGATCTCTTACAACTTAGCCCTTTTATTCAATTTTGCCAACTTTTGCTTATTTCCTTCAATCTCATCTACCTATACCTCAACACCAAAATATACATTAAAGTGCTCTAAAATTTAAAGGAATTAACTAAACATCAAGTTTAAATAGTACCTAAAGTATGAGTAAAATATACTCATCCTTATTCCATATAAATAGGTCATCCATTTAGTGAATGGGCTATGAGTAACCATTATTTAAAATTTTGCTTCAAATGACCCACTTAGTTTTTCAAGTCAAGCTATTAAATGTGGTGTTGATTTCCTATTTCAACCATCGGTCGAAATCTATGAAATTAACCTTTAAACATCATCACCTGTTGGAGGTCGTTTAGCAGCAAATAGCCTACAAATAGTTTTTTTAACCTTCACAATTCTTTATTATTATTATTTTTTTTAAAACCTCTTCTTATGTTTATTTTTACCCATGGGGACACTAATGTGTTCAATTAGTGGGCTAGACAATTTTTTTGTTAGCCATGTAGTGAATAGAATGTCTATTAATAATTTTGGACACCTCTTTTCAGAGATTTTGATTAAACTTGTAATTAATGATGGGGAAAAGTTAATAAAGATGAAGCCATGAGCACTCGTTCTCTCACCCACTCTGAAGTTGATTAAATCACATGATTTTAGAGTTGGAAGAATGGTTGAAGATAGCAAAGAAGAAGGGCCGATATTTTTACAAAAAGATTTTCAAAGTAATGTGCTTGTGCTAAGTTCTGTTAACTCAGAATTTTAGATCAGTATATGAAGACAAGCTACCAGATTTATGGGATGTGAACATCAAGTGCACGTTTAGTGCATATTTCGAGCAAACTACTTCCGTTTCTCACTCATTATTTTGCATCCACTCTCTCATATACTTGACACTCTTCCCTTTCTAAAATTTTCAGTCCAAGTTCGAGATATCCTCACCATTTTGGATTTGCTAAAGCAAATGGTAGGGGGGGGGAAGGTATTCAAATTTGCTTAGGTCAAAGAAAGTGTCAAACAGTATTTGAATGGTTTCTCATCGCTTGAAAATGCTCAAGGAAGAAGAATTTGATCCGATTAATGTTTTTTGCTTTTGTGGCAATGTCTCTAAACCAATTTGAAATTAATACTATTTCACTCTAGTCCCTTCACTATAAAAATATATAAAAATATATATATGTGGACCAAAATAATTCTATAAAATTTCGTGACTTTATAGTATATACACACGGGCTATCTAATTTATGGGATGTAAACATCAAGTGTATTTTTCATGCACACTACTTACGTTTCTTACTCTCATTGTTTCATCATATAAATACATACTCGACACATGTCCCTATGTTTTGAATCAATTACAAAAGACCCCCCAATCTTTTCAAATTGGCTGAAACAACCTCCCTTGCCCCGCCCAAAAAAATAAATAAAATAAAATATGACATTTGCGGTGAGGAAGACCCATTTTTTCATTTTCTAAATAAAGCATTGTGAAATGATGAATAATCCTCATATTTCAATAATACAAAATCAAAAGAAAAAAAAAAACTAATTTCGATTGTAGTCCTAACTTTTCCAAAAAAAAAAAAAAAATGAGCCCCAAATAAATAATTAAAAAATTAAAATTAAAATCCCTTTCATCAGCACCACCACCATTAAATAATAGCATAAATCAATTCCAATACCTTCTATTAGAATATAGGGGAAAATCTGAATACTTGTTGAATCAACACAAAGAAACCCAATTCCATTTTAAAACCCGACTTCATTTTTCCATTTTAAATTTAAATAATCTCAAAATCAACAAAGAACGTAGAACCATTTTCCAATAAATGCATCCACATACATAACCAATATCACCGAGAGAAAAGAACGAAAAAAATCTTGAAACAAAACCAAATAGTGCTTATAAAGATTGCACCTCAACAACATTTTTAAGCAAGAGATCATCTTCTAGAATCCAAACCTAAAGAGGTACCACTGTCGAGTGACCGGACGACGTGACGAACAGAAGGAGAAGACACAGACACTTAGACGAGCAGTAGCACCGGAGCACGTCGACGTCGAGAAGAGTAGTAGCAGCCCTAAATCGTATAATTCATATTTCAGATTTTGGGAATTTTTGAATTTGGGTAAATGGGTTATGATATTGGATTTGGATATATGAGTTGGGTTGGGATTTTAGGGTAAATGGATTGTG